ATTCTAAAACTTATACAGAACCACAAAAGACTCATAAGAGCCAAAGTTCCTCCTGAGAAAAATAATGAAACTGGAAGAATTACATTATCTGACTTCAAATATACTTCAGAGCTGTAGTAATCCAACCAGCATAGTACTGTCATATAAATAGAGACAAAGGCCAGTGGAACAGAACATAGAACACAGAAATAAATCCACACATCTACAGTGAACTTATCTCTGATAAAGCCGCCAGAATATATGTGAGGAAAATTATCTCTTCAATAAATGGTGCTGGGAAAACTGTATATCCATATGCTGTAGCAGCCCGTATAGCCTATGGCTAAGAGGAGTGAGAGTTATAAGAAATACCTGTAATGGAACACCTTGGTGAAAAGGGCATGGAGAGAGATTTGGTTCTAACAAACATGAGTGAGCTCGTGAGATGAGAACATTGGTGAAATGGCAGGCTCTACACCTGTGCTGTTGAGAAGCACGAGCTTAGCCTTATATTAGGCTGGAGGAGAAGGCAGTCAAGAGGCATGTGCATTCTATCACGGATCCACTTACTCTGACTTTGTCTCCTCTCCTGCCTGCAGAACACCAGCATGGTGTCTCTGCTGAAGATTACCAAGCTCTGCTAAAGACTAAGAGCTATCTGTTCTAAGAAGACATTTACTCTCTCTAAGATACTCTGTCTCTCTCTCCAGCTAAAGTAGATAGCCCTCAAGCACCTACGAGAAACTGTTCCTGAGCAAGGTAGCTTAGCGGTCCGCGTCCGGAACCTACCTAAGCTGGGCCCGAGACCTGCCCAGTCCTGGGCCCTGACAATATGCCAAAGAATGAAACTAGAGTCTTATCCCCCGCTATATACAAAAATCAAATAAAATGGATTAAAGACTTAAATCAAAGACTTAAATTTATGCTACTACTAAAAGAAAACATTGGGGAAATGCTTTAGGACATTGGTCTGGGCAAGAGCTTCATGAATAATACCCCTAAATCATAAGCAATCAAAATAAAATTGGAAAAATGGGATTACAACAAAGAAAAGAGACCTACAGAAGGTTGAAAATATGTGTGAACTACCCATGTACAATGAACTAATAACTAGAATCTATAAGGTACTTCAAGAACTTAAGAGGAAAAAAATCAAATAGCCCAATTAACAACTGGGCATAGGATCTAAATAGACATTTCTACAAATATATGAAAAATTTCTCAGTATCATTAGTCATCTGAGAAATATAAATCTAAACTACAATGAGATATTATCTGATCCCAGTTAAAATAGCTTTATCAAAAATGCATTAAGGCATGCTTGTAAAGATGTGGAGAATGTAGAACTCTAATTCACTGTTGGCAGGATTGTAAACAGTGAAACCACAATGGAGAACAGTATAGAGGTTCTTCCAGAAATAAAAATAGAACTACCATATAACCGAGTAATCCAATTGCTATTTATATATCCAAAGGATAAGAAATCAGTATATTGAAAAGATATCTGCACTCCCATGTTTATTACAGCATTATTCACAACAGTCAAGATTAGGAATTGACTTAATTTTCCCTTAATAAATGAATGAATAAAGAAATTGTGGTATATATACATAATGGAATATTGTATAGCCACACAACAGTTGCAGCAGCATGGGTGGAACTAGAATATTATTTTTTTTTTTTTTAGTTGCACTTTTTAATTTTATGTATTTATTTTGGCTGGGGTGGGTTTCGAACCTGCCACCTCTGGCATATAGGGGCTGGTGCCCTACTCCTTTGAGCCACAGGCACCAACCCAGAACTAGAATATTATGTCAAGTAGAATACACAAAGCGTAGAAAGACAAATCACACATGTTCTCATTCATGTGGTAGATAAATATTAAAAACAACTGATCTCATAGAGACAGAGAAGAGAACGATGGATTCTACAGGCTGGAAAGAGTAGTGGGGTGGAGGGGGGGCAAGTAAAGTGGGGATGATTAATGGATATTTAGATAGAATAAATTGTATTTGATAACCCGACAAAGTGATTGTAATCAACAATAAGTTAGAGTATACTTTAAATTAACCATAAGAATGAAATTAGAATATTCCTAAAACAAAGAAATGATAAATGCTTGAGGTGATGGGTAGCCCAATTCCCTTTATTTAATTAATTTACATTGTAAGCCTGCATCAAAATATCACATGTACCTCATAAAGCTGTACAAGTATAACTCATAATAATTTAAAATTTAAATAACCCACATTTTTCTTATTTTTTTAATAAAAGGATCACTTTCTGATTACTGGTTAGGAATGGGTTACATAATATTACTATAATAAACGAAATGATTTATAAATAGTATATAAGCCCATGTTAAAAAAGTGGTTTTCTGATCACAACAAAGCCATATATTTTGTTACATTATGAGTATTCTTCATGGACACATTAAAAGCTTTAAGATATGATGCAACGACTACAAGATTTTGTTTAAAATACAGCTTTGAAAATGCTCAACATCACTAATCATCAGGGAAATGCATATTAAAACCACAACAAGAAACCATCTTACCCCTGTCAGATTAGCTATTATTAACAAGTCAAAAAACAATAGATGTTGGTTGGCTCGGATGCAGTGAATAGGGAAAGCTTATACCCTGTTGGTGAGAATGAAACTTACTGTACCACCACCATGTAAAGCAGTATGAAGATTCCTCAAAGAACTAAAAGTAGACATCCCATTGCATCCAACAATTCCACTATTGGGTATCTACCCAACAGAAAGGAAATCATTGTATCAAAAAGACATCAGCATTCCTAGGTTCTTCACAGCACATTCACAATTGCAAAAATATGGAATCAACCTAAGGTCCCATGAACTAATAAAGAAAATGTGGTACATGTACTATGGAATACTACTTGGCAATAAAAAAGAATAAAATCATGTCTTTCACAGGGACTTGGATGGAACTATTACACTCAGTGAAATATCCCAGGAATGGAAAAGAAAAAACTCAATGGACTTATAACTGGGAGACAATTATGGATATACAGGCCACAAAAGTGGTATAATGAATACTGTAGACTCAGAAGGGAAAAGGTTGGAGGAAGAATATAAAAATTACCTCTGTGTACAACGTGCACCGTTTGGGTGACGGGTACACTAAAAGCTCTGACATCACCACTATGCAAATAATACATGTTTAACAAAAAACTTTTTGTGTACCCTAACTCTATTACAATAAAAAATAAATAAACAAAACATAGTTCTGAAAAATATTTGATTACTGTTTAATTTCTATGGATATTCAAAAATGAAACATGTTCTTTAAACACACTTGGGAAGAACCACGGCATCATATTGAGTTTTGGGCACACAGTGCTTATATTTACAAAAATCTCCTCACGCCACAAAATCAATTAACTTTAATATAGGATGCTTCTTTTTGATTGAATGCATACTTTCTCAAATATTCTGGATTGTAATGACTACCTTATTTCTAATTTGTTGACTCATTTGGAGATATTTAATGTTTCTACTCTTGCAATTGCTTTCTACTATCATGTGTGTACTGCATTCAAAGTTAGAAAATACACAATTATATACATAATTAAATATATAACATGCAAAGGAAATATTATTTCCTGAAACTATTATTTCTCCTGACACTCTTTTATGCTAGATTGCTTCTGTATTTTTTGACTTGATATTTTGAGCATTTTACATCTCTTCATATATCTTATGGTAATTTAAATATTTCATAGGTTTGTTAAACCTTCATAACTATACTATTTTCCAAATACTATTATTTTCATGGCTATAGTTTTACTCTGTCACATATTTCTGCAATGCCATGTGCAGTACATTCCAAAATTTAAAAATAAAACTCATCCCATTTATCTGAAGACCTATCCAAAAATAAAATATGAATTGAGTGAAAATACATATATCAAGTATATTAGTATGCTTACCTAAATGAAACAAGATAGTAGTAGAAAAGATTTTTAAAAGATTACAAATTAAAATATTGAAATTTATCCTTGAAATGTCAATAATTTATTTTGGGATTGTTAACCATCCTTGAATGAGTTTATGTTCTAGCTCCTCAACTAGATATGAGGACAGAGAACATTTCTTTTCAAGGTTTTGAAATCACAATGACTTCTACTAATTCTCACAAAATTGGAGAACATCACATTTGTGTTGATTGTAGCTATTATTTTCTTTTATACCTAAATTATCAAGTGTAAGGGCTTTAGGAGACTTGGTAATGTTCATGTAATTAGTTAATATCAAAAGTAAGAATTAAAATTCAACATTCCATTGAACGTATGTTTTTTTAAAAAATTAACTCCCAACTTTCCATTATAGTATTTATATTGTAAATTTTTCCAAAAATTAGAGTACATTGAAACTGCCCTTACAAATTGATGAAGGGGTGCAAGATGAGAATTAGTATAAGGCTACCAAAACTCTATGAAGTAACTAGACTAGCTGAAATAATAATAATCAGCCACCCGCCCTTTCTTTGCTATATAATAGTCACTGTCTCCTTGTTTGCTTCTCTATAATTGTTACTACAGAAGGCACAAGTTACCACTTGTTACAAAGCTTTTTAACTTTTCTCCATGAATAACATCACCCATTCAGAACCTAACCCATCCAGACTAAGAAACTGACTCAAAAGGTCTGAAACCTCCACCAAAGGAACTGCATTCCAGGGGATCAGCTGACCTACCCTGACAGTGGCCCATCCAAAGGAATGTGGATTCTACATCAAGGAATTTTAATAGCTAATTTTTTGAACTGGATTGCTTCACAAAATTAGCTATTCAAATTCCTTTATGTGGGGTGGTGCCTGTGGCTTAAAGGAGTAGGGTGGGCCCCATATGTCACAGGTGGTGGGTTCAAACCCAGCCCTGGCCAAAAACTGCAAAAAAAAAAAAAAAATCCTTGGTGTGTATAAAGCATATATTTTTCAAATACTGTATATCATTGTATAAATCTATTATCAGGAAATTCTGAGGTAACTTACAAATCTCTGGGATCCATCATATTCACACCTTTCAATTTTTCCTAGACTGCCGTCTGAGAAATACAGCTTTTCTGCACGGTGGTCGATGGTGAGTCCATTTGGAGTGAGTATGTCTGTACTGACCACGACTTGAGCATTTTTCCCAGTCAGGGTAGATCTCATGATACTCGGATGCTGTTCATTCCAGTTGGTCCAAAACATTAAACTAATTGAAATAACAATTGGAATTATAAGTAAAAATTTTCACCAAAAGTAAAAACATAAGTAGAATCATGGCAAAACCTATCTATTTAAAAAGAAACAAAAACATTTATCTTATATTTTATGATCTTTAATGATATCTGAGTAATAAAATAAGATGTACATATTATATCAGTATTTTCATCTGATTTTTGCCTATACTCTTAAATAAAACTTAGAACCTATTTCTGAAAAACAATTATTCTGTATATTCATGCAAATGGTACTTTAATTATGTTGAGTTAGTTTGGTGCAGAATGAAGATTTATTTTAAACAAGAACTAAATAGTGACTTGCAGTTTTCTGTGAACTGCAGATATAGCCTAACTTCTTAAGGTCACTTTTTCAGCTGATCCAGTATGATCATTTTGAACATCCTTTTTATTCTAAATATATTTC